TAAATAAATAATCAAAATATTCAATTAAAATCGCTACTGAATATAATTTATTAGAACATATGTGATTTGCACTTGTATGAAACTCAAACACGTATTCCTAATATACACACTAGAAACATGTGGATAAATATTATAAATATGAATACCTATAACTGTTACTTTAATACAAAAAATAAAGATGTGGTTTTTGGTTCTACTACACCAATGGTCAAGAGATGGCGCTGTAGTCTCCTGAATCGCGCTTTGGTTCCGTTGTTCCAGATTAATAAATACTTTTGATATTATAAATATGAAAACCTATAACTGTTACTTTATTACAAAAAATAAAGATGTGGTTTTTGGTTCTACTACACCAATGGTCAAGAGATGGCGCTGTAGTCTCCTGAATCGCGCTTTGGTTCCGTTGTTCCAGATTAATAAATACTTTTGATAGGCCTTCACAATGCAGTCGTTAGCACCCACTAAATAGAGATTCTATTTCTATTTTGTTGGTAGATTTTCTTAATGTGCGGTAAACAAAAGTAACAGCATGAAGTTGGTCGCTAAAGCTAGCTATAGCTAAAGCGACCAACTTCATGCTGTTAATTTTTGTGTTACAGTGATGCGCGCGCATCTTAAAATTTCACTCTCATCATTTTTTCATAACGCGCCTAAAGAAGTATAACTTCAAAAAACTCCACAACATTAAAAGCATAATGTAACAACATTTACAAATCATTATGTTGTTACAACGTCAATACAATCATGATTTATTTAATATAGAACACCTGTTGGAATGATTGGAACAGTTCAAACCCAAGCATTTTTGTCTGTAATATAATATTTTCTTTAGATTTAAACATCAAGCAGTTACATGCTTTAAAAATAATAAAAATTATAACTATAATTGCTATTTCTTCTTTCAAATGTTTAATACTTGTAAAAGTATTCATTTGACATTGTGGGTTTACCTATAATGCGAAGAGATGGCGCTGCCTTGCAGCTTAAGAATAGCCAGAAAGAATTTCGACGCGGTCCGTGAGGGCCGCGGTAGCATAATTGGTCAGTGCATTCGCCCGGATTGCGAAGGGTGCGGGTTCGAGTCCCGTCTGCTGCCTGGTCCGCGTGGAATTTTTTCTAGTTATATTTTCTTTAGATTTAAACATCAAGCAGTTACATGCTTTAAAAATAATAAAAATTATAACTATAATTGCTATTTCTTCTTTCAAATGTTTAATACTTGTAAAAGTATTCATTTGACATTGTGGGTTTACCTATAATGCGAAGAGATGGCGCTGCCTTGCAGCTTAAGAATAGCCAGAAAGAATTTCGACGCGGTCCGTGAGGGCCGCGGTAGCATAATTGGTCAGTGCATTCGCCCGGATTGCGAAGGGTGCGGGTTCGAGTCCCGTCTGCTGCCTGGTCCGCGTGGAATTTTTTCTAGTTATATTTTCTTTAGATTTAAACATCAAGCAGTTACATGCTTTAAAAATAATAAAAATTATAAATACTAAGTCACTGAACATATTTTGTTACCGACCATTATTTTGTGAGCCAGAATTCAGTTAACTTTCTGTACTTTACCTTATTACGAGGTTCTCTGTATATTGTAGTTGTATACGAAACTTGGGAATGTGCCAGAAATTATATTGTTCACCATTATATGAAGATCCTATTTTATTAGGGATTTTATAAGGGCTATAAATGCGGGGCAATATAATGACACAGAGTCTGGTCCTTTTCGAAGTTAGTCACGGACTGTGATAGTACGGGTGCTTTCGAAACCACTCTCCCACTTTTCCCCTATTATTCCTATCATAATTACTTTTTATTCGATATTCAAATGATACAATACAAAAAATTCAGACAAAATTCCGATTTTGAGCTCAAATCCAAATTCCAAATCGGTCCACTAGTTGTTCAGTTTATTCTTTACTATCATACAAATCTTTCCTCTTTATTAAATTGATATTAATGTTGTATTAGGTCGGTGCTTATCCCACACCTGCGTGATGAAGCATCGGGTGGCATTGGTACTAAAATGCGCTATTTGCGTTCAAACTTTGAATTAAGTACCTACGCTGCACATACATATAAATCGTTTTCCACAACCTCTTTTAGCATGTCAAATTAACGCCAGTCGAGCTATCGCCTAGCTTATATAGACACGCTGCTTGCTAATTTATTACGATATATCTAATTCAAATTTCTAACGCTAATTTAGCGCATTTAGTACCAAAGCCACCCGAAGCTTTTTCGCGCATGTGTTGGAGAAGCATAGTTATAGGTAGTATAGATAAAAACCTTAATAGTATAGGATTCTAAGACTACCAGACCTTATTTATTTTCTCATGGACAAAATATGGATAATCGAATAGTATTAGTGTGTACAATGAATGTATACACACTCGCTAACTTAAGCTGTTGGCAAGGTTTTTGGTATCAGGTGACACAAGCACGTAAAAAATTTACTCGCCTTACTTACATTATGAGGACTCTATTATCCATATTTTGGTAATGAGAAAATAAGTAAGGTCTGGCAGTCATGGGATCTTACTGTATAAAGTTCTACCGTTACAGCACCGCGATTCTTGTAATCTGAGTTAATCACACTATCGAATTTTGATAGGTTTTTATAACATTTTGTAAAATGTTTATTTCCGGCTCTTTTTCTTTACTTTTTCTGAGGGCTGTTGCAATCATCGCGACCTTTGCCGTGTAACGACGTTACTAATGTCTAAGAACTGTCAAATTCCGGGTGTGACCGCGCGCCGGCGCTTATATCAAGTCAACATTCTTAGAATCCTAGTCGCCACATCACACTCGCCCCTTATTCAAAATAATATAGCAAATAGCGACGTCCTTTTCTAACTGTACTCAAGTAAAGATCAACACTTAGTTGTCATTCTCTAATACGAGCCTTAGAATCCAAGTCGCCACATGAAGTATGAATGAAGTAGCTCAAAAAAAGTACAATTGTGTAACAAATCCTTTCTGAACTTCCGTTATTGTAAGCATAATGTAAGCCAAATAATCTTAGGTAACTACTACAGCGTAACCAAGTTCTTCATTCAGAACATATGAATTATTTTTTGGATTAACACAAGTCAGTACGTGCTGTGAGTACGAATGAGATGTTACAATAATGATGTCCGCGGCATAAATGTCCATACATAAAGAGCTCTGGACTCGACCCTGGTTCACGGGCCTTCCGAAAATTTATGGATAGCCATAAAAAGGCATATTTTAAATGTACGCTGCCGTGATTAGCATTTTTTTCTTTGGGACATATGTTGATGCCGCCATTTGCATGTTAAAAATTTCTTTTTAATTTATCTATATAAAGCTATACACACATGTTTTTTTTAACAGTCACCAAACTTAATTAAGCCTCGATTTGAATTTTGATTCAGTTTTGATTAGGAGCTTTGCTGTAAGCTCACTCAACGTCGCGCGTCCGCAAGTAAATTAATTTGGAGAATTTGTTGAAAGAGTTCACCTGTGATTTCTGAATAACGAATTAATTCATGTTGAACCTTCGCTTTTCATGTTTGCCGTCTCACTAACAGGAACTTCTTTGATATAGGAAAGAAAATAACAAATAGCATTTTAAGTAAATTTTAGAATCTAAGGAATCCTCGTCTAGAGCAGCAAAATTTTTTTTTTTCAACTAACGGCAATGTCTTTAATTCTCGTCTAAATCGTCAGTCTTTAGAATAGAAACTACTGGAGGGTTCACATTACGTTTCTGATTACGGAAAAATATTAATGTACCGGTTTGCATGGTCTCGGGGTGGCCGTACAAAGGGATATAAAATAGAAAAACATATTCAAGCGCGTCAGACATTGAGAAGGGATGTTACGTGAACCTTGTAGTGGTTGATTAAGTACATTTTACAGCGTACCTAGGTTTGGTTTCCACGATGTATGTTCTGAAAATTAATTTATTTATGAGAGGTAGGTATTGGGTATAGCAGATTTTCTCTGTCGAATTGGAGCGCCCGTCTGCGGATTTAACCTCCACCGTACAGAAAATCACAGGAAAATAACACCTTTTTAGTGGTGTTGTGTTTCTGTAGGTCAGTACGGTGCCAGGACACTAAGGTAGGCTTGAGAAATAATTTTGGTATCGCAAGCGTCTCCTGTGATAGCCGGTTACGACCCAGGCGAGCCATATGTTTGTTTGCCACCATTAAAATATATAAAAATCAAATGAGGTAGGTCTATCAATGCTATTTTCTTACGTATTGCAGGAAGAAAGGAAAAAAAGACGCGTTAGCTAAAGCATATGCAGTCACTAGCTCTCACCAATTCGACACCATGAAACCCGGCGTACAAACCACTCGGCCAAGGAGGTCGTCAAAATTGGTTAAAATCACTATCATACGATGAAGTTGAACATTTATTCCATATTGTTAAATAAATTATAATTTATATTATTCTTCAGTATATTTTGGTTTTAAACAAATATTTACCAGAAATTCTTGCAGAATACACAAGCATAAAATCCAAAATATTATAGATGAAATCCTTTGAATGTTAATTTTGTCAAAATGGAAGGATCTAGTACCTATTATACAGGCTAGGCCTAGTTTAGGTTCTAGTGTATTGTAAGTGCTATATTTATTGTATTTTTAGTTTTAAGTAGTATTGTCGCTGTTGTTAGGCATTAAGAAATCAATTGTTATGATTTAACTATGTAATAATGCTGGGGCAAATAAATAAATTTATTATTATTATGCTGTTGATGATGATTAGATTTAAGTAATAGCCAATGAAATAACTCGCGTGCTTGAACTGGATTTCATTCACGCTTATTGTTATATGTGATGGTGTGATTGTGCTAGGCCATGTATCTTAATAATGATAATGTTACAAGATGCATTGAGCCAACTTCGATGCCGCACAGGAGGAATACCACTTCTAATCTCTCTAAAGAAATTATTTTATTAATGTACCTAATTGTAAGAACTTACAAATGCCACGGCAAATCTGTCAATCAAAAAAAAAGAAAAAGAAACAGCAACATTATGTATTAGTACATTTTATTTCCAGACGATGCCTTCGATCCAGTCGAGGTAGCTGGAGACCCTGGTGTAGACGCCAGGCAGGTTGGGTAGAGCGCAGCCCACTCCGAATGACGTCACACCAATCACAACATGCATTCGTCTTTTGCAATAGCCAGGGAGCGATGTACAGCTGATAACACAAAAATATCATAAGTTACTTCACCTTTAGGTTTATTGTCATCAATTGTCAAAAGTATTATAATTCATCGATTGCCCAATCTTTTGAAGAACGTTTATTCGAATGAAGGTAAGCTGAAGCTCTGATAAATCGAAACCGAGAAGAAAAAAGTAAAGAATTCAGAGAAATTACTTTACACTAAAGTACATTTAATTTAAAATTGCGCATAGTGTCGGACTTTATCACTTTTTTGTGAATTTAATGTCAAATTTGCGCGTTAATATGGATTGAATGTCATCGTCATCGTCGTCGTCATCAGCCTATTAATGTCCCCACTGGGGTACAGGCCTTCCCTATGGCTGGGATAGGGAGATTGGGCCATGACCCACCACGCGGGCCCAGTGCGGATTGGCGGGTGTGCTAGCGACTGCAGATGCAGCTTGGACCAATGGCTTAACGTGCCTTTCGAAGCACGGAGGAACTCGAGATATTAAATTTTTGGTCACCCACCCAATGACCGACCATTGCGAAAGTTGCTTAACAACTATCGCAGCCGAACGCGCTAGTCACCTGCGCCATCGAGCTCTTCCTCCTTGAATGTCATATTCACGCATAATCAAGGATTAAATGATTAAGACAAATCATTTTTTTCTATACAGTAGATATGTGATTAAAGCTATACTTTTTTGGGTACTCACTTCTTTTTTTGTATAAGGGGAAATTCTATCTGCAAAGGACCTCCCGAATCACCCTGAAAACCAATTGTGTGAAAGCAATTTAGTTCATTTGTATTTAATTAACAGAGATAATAATGTCTTAGCACAGCACTTATTACTTTCGCCATGATCTACGTAAAAGTAATCGCAGACTTTTACAACGTCTTAGGGGCTAGGGACGTGAGATTATTAAGGCTTGAGACCCAGCCCGAAAATGACGAGAGGCTTTAGTGGTTTTCTAAGCGGAGCCCATTTCCACGCGGGGAAGTCACCGACGCGCCATAGATTTACTAGGCTATTTCAGTATGAGGTATGTTAATGCAACTAGAAGTTACTCTAATATCGGCTCAACACTCACTGGTGATGCCCACTGGTATTACGGGGCGAGTTCGCGCAATTATTTTATATCAGTGGTGATGACTCCTTACTGGCTCCACACAGGTGCCGTGAAATGCCGTGAAATAATGGCGTGAATTCGCGCCGTGAATTCACATCAGTGGTGATGACTCCGATCTCTGAAGCCGCGGAAACCGTCCATATTTGTGTTCACGCCTATTCAACAAATGTAGAGACGGCATGACACCATTTATAGCGAGCTGTTTATTAATCACACACTTGGCAAGCGTCTGCGCCGCCCGCTAACACTCCCGCGCACATCTGGTGTTCCTGCAGGCCACACCAGTGCCGGTTGCAGGACGGCCGCAGCAGGTTGTCGCACAAATTATTGTCGAGGACGTCCAGCGTTACAGCTTGCAGCTCAGGAGACGTCGTGTGGTTCACTGGAAACCATAGTGAACACTTTAAATCCATCATTGACAGTTGTGCAAGCCTATAAAGCACGAAAGAGCTTGTGATAATAAACTTTTAGCCTCCTTTCCATTCTTTATGTAGCTTTTGCTACATCTCACTGCATTTCTATATCTAGTTCCTTTCATATAATTTCATCTTGACTCTTATATTTTAACTTGTTTTTTGGAACTTAACGCATGTAATATTATCGACCCATAATAAAGCACCGGTGGGCTTATGGAATAAAAAAGGGACAAAATACAGGGAACAAAATTGTTTCACAAAAAACAGGGGTCTTACCGAGAATCGATTCCCGAGTAATCAACGAACTAGTTATACCTATAAGTTAGCAAATTTCTGAATATTTCGACCATATCGCATGTGAGTGTTCTAATTATAATTCAAGGAAGTGCGACATTGATACACGAAATGGTACGTCGTTTACCTGTTTCGACTACGCCCCATCCTGTCATAACAGCCTTTGAACCCACCAGCCGATCGTCAGAAATGGCTAATAGGCAGGCTGGTTGTATAAAACTAGTAATGAACAATCCCGGTTCCAATTCTATGAGGGCTATGTCATTATATTTCTTCGGTGGTCGGTAGTCCGGGTGATTAATAATTCTTATAATTTTCTTGTCAAAATGAGCTGGATTGACTCCTTGCTCGTCCTTTTCCTGTGAAATAGCGTTTGATTATTAAAATAGTAAATTTATTTTACGAAATCATCAATTAAGTGGAATGTGTATCACATCACGGTATGAAAATGAGTACTCATGGGTACAGAATATATACCGCGGGTACAGAAATGTGAAGGAATGGCAATTTCGTTTGTCCGAGAATTCACTTGTGATCATTCGCCACTATGCCAAGTAGTGGGCATCAGACATTATCCTGGAATCACGCTATTGGAAGCAGGTTGCGACAGAGAGGAAGACATGAATAAAATGGAGGAAATCTTACGTCCAAAAGCGGACGCGCGTATTATGTGGGTTCTACTTTCAGAATGCTGATATAATGATAAATATCAAAATTTATAATAATGTTTCAATAGGTTCGTTAAGTCGTTTTTTAGTTGTTGACTTAGTGTTTTTTTTATCGACAATCCTCACCAGTATGTTTTTGTCGGCCAACCTCACAATCTTGGGATCAACGTCGGCGACGGTGGTGTCACTTGCAGAAGCCTTAGAGCAGTGCGCCGCGGTCAATACATACGTTTTGCTGATTAGAGAACCTCCACACTTGAACACCCACTTTCCAAACGAGGATTTCCAGCCGATGGCGCCCTGACACGATACCAGATAGATTAAAAGGGTGAGCTATTCCATATAGTTATATGGAAGAAGACTACAAAGTAAAGCTTTGGCTTTTTGGGAACTTTTTCCGTTCTGTTCTATCAATAGGATTAGGGTTCCCTCCATCTGCCATAATTTTGTTGCTCCGAAATTCATTTGGCATAACACATTTGCCATAATCTTTTATAAACGAATATTTGTAAGCCATATTTTTTATTAAGTATAATAATCGGTCGAATGTTTATTTGTTAGAATTCACAGTAGCATACTTTTAACATGGCAGAATTTTATTAAGTATAATTTTAAATATAATTACCGTTGGCAAAATTATTTTCTGCATAATTGCGCTCAGAATAATCGGTATTTGTGATCAGTGGGTTTGGTTAGGTTAGTGTTTTGACCTAATCTTAACGCGAGCCGAGCGAGCGGAGCGAGAGTGCCGCGGCAGCGGTCGGCGAAGTACCAGTCACCATAGATAATACATAAATAAACAAGGAAAATTTTAATGTTTGTATGCCGAAAGACAATTCTGACTGTGAACTTTCTGCGATATGATGGTTCTGCATTTTAATTATTGTAAATATTAAATTTATTCTTAAAGCTGATTCTGGCTGACAAAATTATGCGTTTGAATGTCTGCTAAATGAGTGAATGCCAAATAATTTTCTGCTAAATGAAGTTCATGCCATCCGCTGATATGCGTTAATATTATGACATTAAAAGTTCTGCGTTACTAGGTAGATCCTTAGGATTAATAGTGTTACTGGGTAGACTATACGACAAAAAGGTGGTGCTGCTGTATCAACACTTTCATTATAAATTTAAAGGTTAACCTAGACAAAACAAGTATAATGAGTTTTCAGCAAAGGACTGATGCAGTGAATCTAAATATCAACTACTCTGGTAAACAAATCTGTGGAACAAGTACAAACAAATTTCTAGGTTTATATATAGACAGTAACTTAAAATGGAAAAGTCATATTGAACAGCTATGTAATAAGTTGTCTAGTCATTCTTATGCGTTGTACCAATTAAGTAAAGTTGTAGATTCAGATGCTGTACTGTCTGCTTATCATGGGTACGTTGGATCTGGAGATCTGTGCGAGATATGGAGTAATGTTTTGGGGTAAAGCAACTGACAAAGAAATCGTTTTTAAATGCCAAAAACGTTGTATTAGGTCAATGTTCAATTTATGCATGACCGACTCGTGCAAACCGTATTTTAAAAAGTATAGGGTACTCACACTTCCATGTCTGTACATTCTGGATTGCGCCTTATTTGTTAATAATAACACAGATATGTTTAAGGTCTTATCTAGTGCATGCCATAGGGATAAATTCCGCATGGTTCCTTTGAATACTGCACTTATGAATCAGAGTGTGTTCTGTAACGCCCTTTGTGTATATGTCATGGCCATATCGTAGATTTGCTCACTTCATGAAATGCTCGAGAATTTCATGAAATGGTCACATTTCATGATGTGGCCAACTTATATTGATACCAGATCATTAAATCGTCAACATTTAACGATTTGGTCATCCACATTTGGCCGGATCGTATAATTAGGGTGTCTATAAAATATATATTACAAATCCAGAATATGTAAGGACTTGTTTATTGTTATTTAAGTCCGAATGACACAAACAAATTTAATCAAATTTTTGTAACAAAATAAACAAATTAAAGTTTTTTTTTTCCTAAATTAAACACCAAACATGTCAAGAACTTATACATTTATATTTAGAAAACTATCAAATATTTAGAAATAAGAAGGTACTTTGGTACATATTACAATAGTAGACTTAACTGTTCTTCCAGGGCCCAAACGGTAATTAATACTTCACACTAGGTTAGGTTAGATTACTGTTGTGACCATGACGCGTGAGCCGAGCGATCAAAGCGAGCGTGCCGCGGCAGCGGCCGGCAAAGCGCCAGAAAAAAAACTCTATTAAAAGAGACCTTTTCTACAAAAGAAATTCAAGTATCACCTCTTAGGAAGTACAGTTTTACAGTATATCTTTGTACGGCATTGATTCTCATCCGCACTTTGTACCTCAACCGCAGTTTCCAAAATGTCATATTTTGACAGACAGTAATAGTCCATAGATTTCTTTTGCGTAGTCACCCTACTCTCCTTAATTTGTTTCGTCGAAAACCCTTTTGTTAACTTTCTTCCTCATTAAATATCGAATTATGCACTTTTTCACTGCGAGAAACAACATTGTCGGCAGCGGCCGCCATATAAATATATAAACAAAGCGCTTGCAGCGCCTATACCGGTAATTAATGTAACTACTTTACAATATGATCAAATAATTTTTGCCATTTCATGAAGTAGCCACGCGTTTAGTTGGCCATATCGTGAAATGATTTCTCATCATTGATCTTCTCAAACCACATCATGATGTGGCCAATAGATAGTGAAACATTTCATGAAATGCGACCATTTCATGAAATTCTCGAGCATTTCATGAAGTGATCAAATCTAAGATATGGCCACGACATATATAATAAAATTCCTGGTCCAATAAGAAGTAATGAGAATGTCCTCAGTTTCAAGCATATGTTAAAGAATTTCTTAGTTGACAAATGCTACTACACAATTAAGGAATTTTTATCTGACAAAGAAATTTAACAATGACATTCTGGGTACTACTTGACATTTTTTTATATATATACGAGTATAATATTGAGACATAGACTTGTTATTGACAAGTTATATGAAGTGAATAAATAGATATGGAAATAAACTTAATTGACATTTATGATAATATTAATTTAAATTGAGACATCTAATGTTATTGTGTAATTGAACGCCTTATGGCAGGACATAGCTGAACTGTATGTACTGATGTAACACCCCATTATTGTACCTATGCTCTACAATAAATGATTTTTTTTTTTTTTTTTTAAATATTATTTATAAGAAGGCAATGGTGTTGTATTGAGAAAGTAGGAGTGTTTTATATTGCTGGAGTACTTACCATATGAGGGAACTCTCCTGGTTCTGTAATGCGACCACCTACACCACCACCGCCGCTACCGTAACTGCGCGTTTTATTATTTATGGAATTGAGATAATCACGACCTGGAAATTTTGAAATTATCGAATTGATAGATTTCAGCCGTCGGTTTTTTTAAGTTAAGCTTTAGTTTTAATATAGAAAGAAAGAAAGAAAAACATTTATTGGTTGCACAGCATACATACATTGAAAACAAAACAGATTTGGAAGAACATAACAACAAAGAAAAAAAAACATATAATAATAAACACAAAAAAAAAAAACAAAAAAAAACAACTAAACTAAATATGGTCTTTAATATAATTTTATTCCTCGAGATTCTAAACAAGTAGTTGAAAGAATAGACGAGCAATCACTAAGGAAAGTAATCACTAAGGATATGGACCTAAATATGTGACACATTTTGTTTATTTCTTAATTACAAGAATATGTGCCTTGCCAGATCGGAAATCACAAACAAGAAAACTTCGCATCATTCACTATCAACATTTGTTGTCATTCATCAACAGTCGTCATTACAGGAGCTGATGTAAACATCACTTGGACCATAATTCTAGGGAGAAGGGAAGTTTCTCCCATCCATCCCATAGCGTATTCCTAATCCTTGTCATAATTGTATACAAAAAAACGAATCGCTACGTTTGTATTAGATGATTAATTTCAAGTTATAAAGTGAGGAAGGAAATAGTGGATTTTAGAGTAGGAGTTACGAAATATAGCGGATTTCAGGATAGGAGCGCCTTTCTGGGGAAATAACCTCCGTACCGAGTTTTGGTGATATTTAGTTTTTGGTTTCCAGGGCTTAATGGTTAAATGTTTGGGTTTATATATCAATTTTATTTAGTTTGCCAAGGATTGGAAATATTATTTAGGTTGTCGAAATTTTCTGTATTATAATCTTATCGAAAGTAAAGAAAGTTTCCAACTCATATCAGATCAAATAAGAGCTTTCGATGAATGTGAATATGAGTAGGAATCATTTCTTCTAATATATTTTATAGAAAAACAACTCTAGACATAAACAAAATTTAAATAATATCATAAGCAATTCTTCAACTTACATGCGATCGCTCTTGTCACTTTATTCTCTCTCTCTTTGATATCCCATATGTATTCAAGACATTCTGTAACCAGAGATAAACACAGTTATGGACTATGAGTATCTCCAAAGACATTTTCCTATCCTTCTATAATATTACATTGCAATTTTCCACTCAATCGCTGCTAAAATGTTGGCAGTTTCAATTAGTGCGTATGTTTCTACCGTTTTAAATTTTATTAATATGACTTAAGGGAGAAAATATCCGCAAAAAAAAGAGCAAGCAAAGAGTTGTAGCCAGTGGGCCGTTGCGGCCAAGTGCGACTTGTTCATATGGTTTCTTTAGTTAAGTCGTGGTGGTGGCCGCTTAGTGCCTAAGAGGATTTCTTGAAGCGCTCTTTTGGCTTAATAACTTCTACTTTACAGAAGGAGGAAACTTGTTAAGGTAAAACAACGGTAATATAGTGTTGTTATACATAAGTCTAAGAATAAGGCTTCACGGGGTAGAGAATTTGTTTTACGTCGATAAGGGGAGGTTGTCTGGAGCTGTAATATTTTCTGCCGCATTAAGTACCTAACTATTTTCACCTTTACCATCAGTTATATCAGATTAGCCGTTTCTTGTTGGAGATAATATATGTAAGTCAAATTCAACAAAAATATTGTAAACTGTAATGATACTTACTCACGTCGCTTATTCGTCGACCAGGCGCTCTGAAGTCCGGAACCTTCGGTGGAGGACGGCATGGGTTCTTCCGAGGTGCTGTATTTATCCTTTCACTAAGTTTGTCCTGATTAATAATTAAATAAACATTAAATCAAACGGTATTCTATTTCTACACGGAATCATAATTGAGGAGCTTGCAAACATAACGGTATAATTACGCATTACGGTTTTGACCATATACTACTTTTTTTTTACAGCCCGGAGGCTTTGGGTCATATGAATTGGAATTTCAGCAAATGTCAATCAAAACCGCCTACAATAGTGTTAACTGTAGGTATGTCATTCAGTTTTTTACTGCTCATGTAAAATTAAATTTGATGTAATTATACCGTTTTGTTCGCTAGCCCCTCAATTATATTGTTACGTGTGGTATGATAGGGAATCTAAATTACGATGCCAGTTCACGCTTCACAGTTTTTTATTTTCTTGTGAAGTACTCCTACCATACCTGAGCCCTTTGTGTAGCGCCCATCGTCTAGGCCAGCAAATAAATCAACAAGCGGCCATGACTTGTGTTCCCGTCCAAATCGGCAGTCTTTTGAATAGAAGCTTTTGGGGGGATATGTAACTTCTTTGATGACGGAAAAAATATTAGTCTGTCGATTAGCATGGCGTGGCCGTACGAATGGGTAGAATATCGGAAAAAATATATTCGAGCGTGTCAGACATACCCTCCAGTAGCTGCTATTCAAAAGACTGACGATTTGGAGGTAGACAAATGTCAAGACCGTTTGTTAAAAAAAATGTTTGCTGCCCTAAACGTTAGAGGGCATGTATGGTGAGAGTATTTCACAAGGTGCAAGGTTACCTCTCTTATGTTATTTTGCCCCACTCGAGTAAATCCCAAAATCCCAGCTTGAGCTGTGGGACTAAGTGTTAAAGTTATGTTTATTTTTATCTCAAAACAGTAAAATTGTACTTCTAAAAAAATTTAAAAATCTTTTATCTAAAATAATTAAATTAAATAATCTTAAATAATAAATCTTTTATTTTATGCTCACATTTGGTTTATCAACAGTAGTATAGCCCCAAATCCATCTGTCATCTTCCTGAAATGTAATTAATGATTTTAGATCTCTGAACTGCATCATATCATCATCATCATTTAAAAACGAAATGTATGAAATTTGTATTACCTAATGTAAAACAGGTAAAAACCAGTGTGAATGTAAAGGAAAGGAATGTGGGCCTTGTAGACACCACAGTATTCTTAGGGACAACTTTAGATTCTAAGCATATGCCGTAATAAAGATACGCCAGTTAACGCATGTAGATACGGCCAGATTAGTGTACTTTAGTTATTTCCATAGTGTAATGTCGTACGGAATTTTATTGTGGGGAAATGCCGCCGACATTCAAACTATTTTTGTGCTGCAGAAGAGAGCTATTCGATCAATTTATAATCTCAAAATTAAAGAATCGTTAAGAGATAAGTTTAAAGAATTTGGAATAATGACGGTCGCATCACAATACATATACGAAAATTTATTACTTGCAAGAAAAAATATTAATTTGTTAGTCTCAGAACTGACTGAGTGGGTTACGTCCCTGTACAGTGTCGTGTCTTTCACAGTGGCGAAGCATGCGGCAAGCATTTCCCTAAAATAAAAAGGGGTCAGGGTAGCCAACGCATGACTGATACTTATAGCATCGTAAGCATTTTTAGGCTGTTGTGCTCAATTACGATCTAATATTGTGCTTATTTTCTATCATTTTAAATAAATAGCTTTTTCGCTCACCGCTTCCGTTGGTGAACCGTTGGTATGTGTAATTACTAATGCTGCAATAACAATTCCAATGATGGGTTAGTTCTTCATTTTATGATGCCATTCTCTTAAGTTTAAATTACAAAAAGTGATTAATCTATTTTTAGGAATAAAATCTAGCTATGGAAAATATTACATCTGGAGTACAAGAAATAGTATTAATATAATGTTACATAAAAATAAAAATTCCAACAATCACACTAATTAGCCTAGCTTCAGAGAAAGCACTGTATGGCTTGTATTACGGGATACTAGGGTGACGTATAGAAAACATTTATACTGATATATATGAGTATATTTTTCATTAGAAATACATATAAACATCCATGACTTATGTATAAATGTTCGTATTCATCATAGTAGCATTTACACCACCGGGATTTGAACCCGGGTCCCTCACGACACCTTGAAACCCGGCGTATTTACCAATCGGCCACGGAGGTCGTTAATAAAACCAGAACGTGATAAACAAAAAGGTGACGTATTTGTAAACATTAATAATGTATTCTGACAGGAAAACATCACGGATACGCACACACACATTAATAAAATCACAAGAAGACGACCTTGCGATAAAACAGGCTGGCGGTAAAACAGGCTGATGATAATAGAATCAATAATAATAATGTTGCCGATATAATGATAATGATGAGGAGCTCGATGGCGCAAGTGGTTAGCGCGTTCGACTGCGATCGTTGAACTTAAGCAACTTTCGCAGTGGTCGGTCATTGGATGGGTGACCAAAAATTACTATCTCGAGCTTCTCCGTGCTTCGGAAGGCACGTTAAGCCGTTGGTCCCGGCTGCATCTGCAGTCGTTAGCACCCACCAATCCGCACTGTAGCCCAGCAGTGGGAACATTAAAAGGCTGATGATGATGTTGATGATGATGCCGATATAATGATATTGTAAAGAAAAAAAACCGAATTCAAATTCAAAAAGAAATGGAAAATCTGCGGCATAACATTTAATTGTAATGCCACAGTGAATAACTTAACTCCAAAAATAAACCCATGCTAATCTAGACATAACGAATAAATCGATAAAATAAAGAATTCTGTAAAATAAATGTTTGTCATCTTTAAAAATAAAATAAACACATTATTATATACTAGCTACTAGCAGCCGTACTTTAGTTTTCTGAGAGTCCCTCAGGACCCTAAATTTTTTTCGGGATAAAGTATCCTATTTCTATGGTTTCTGATTTATCGAACTTTTTTCGTTCGCTAGGCATGTGAATTCTCGGGGCCGAATTATCGAGTCTTCTCGAGGATTTCAAAGAAGACATAATTTAAAAAAATTAAGCAAAACTCTAAATAATCACGAAAGAAACGAATTCTTATTGCCTCCAACTGCACTTACTTAAAAAAAGTAACATAAAAATCTTCTAATACGTAATAATCAAATCTTAATACTAGAAGAATTAGGAATACTGAAAATCTCTAGAAACAAAACACTTTAGTATCAAGCTATTAATCTAATAATAATATAATATTAGTATTTATTAGCTTTAACTTTGAGATCATTGAGATCAAATATAACAGAAACATTATTAATGGAACCAGATTACTAAGGGGGGTACCAGAACAACAAATTTTGCTACATGTAGGCATAATCTTTTAGAAATATCAAGTAAATTATTCTGAACAAAATGATTAGGCTCTACTTATTAATTTGTAATAGGTAATTTGTAAATAATTGCTAAGTAAGTAACTACTTCTTGTGACTCGACTAATTTGAGTAATTTGTAAGGAGTGTGTGCGTGAAACAACTTGCTCGCAGTGAGCGCGACTGTACAATTTTCCGCGGTAAAACCTACCTCGAATACTTTGAATTGGTGCCTAGAGATTTCTCTAGGCCCGGGTTTTTTTTCGTCTCGAACCAAGATGGATTTCTCGAGCAGACCTATATCTCAATCCAGGTGAAATACTTTGTATGTGCCAAATTTCACCTAAATCTGTTCAGCCTTTATGCGTGATTGAGTAACAAACAAACTCACTTTCACATTTCATTTTCACTTTCACATAATATTAGTTACGATAGGATAATAATAACAAATTATTTCAAATAATGGTTAACTGGAATGCAGCACACATCCATAATTATTAAATAAAAAAAAAGTAATTTAAAACTTATAAAAAAAACATTCATAGAAATGAAAAAAAATATATAAAATTTTACCCATTTTCATTTAAAGATAAAACGAGTTATTAAATATAATAAGCCTGAATATTAAATATCTTACCTTTCATCAACACCAAGCAAAATAATATTATTTGTGGTTTATTCATCGATGGTTTCATTGTTTTGGTACATATGAATGGACACTCTTATAATCACTCAAATATTGCACTTATAATAATTAACTGATTGTACGCATCTTATTCAAATAGTAGGTGGAACTCGATTGATACATCGCATCGCAATGAAACCTGTGTCGGTCTGTTTGGAGATTAATCGTTGAATTAATGGTCTTGATAACGCACCCGTCCCACCACTGAAGATTTGCGATTGAAAGCGGCACGAGCTATATAGGACACGAGGAGGCGTACTATGAAAGGCTTTGCTCGCTAATGACGCTTTATCTAACTATATTACCTACAATTAATCCCATTGCAAAAAGATATTTAACTGTCTTAGTAAGCAGTAGCACCAATGACCGACAGGAGCCAGTGATCGACATTTTTTATGTGATGAATGAAAATTATGGCGCGATTACACTTGACCGTTAGCCCGAATACGAGTACCGCCCATATTCGGGTAGTTTTCGGTTTGTTTACCCAACACGGTCTTCCAGCCCGTATTCCCGTGTAAATATTGCTTCAGGTGCCCGAATTCAATTAATGTCTTTCGTGCACCTGAATACGAGCTAACAACCAAATGTAATTTAGCGATAAGAATGAGTTTTTCCGGCGCAGGTACGAGTAAAGTCTGAATTGGTTCTAATGTATTGTCGACCAACTTAAAAGCCCAGTCTTTTGGGTCTATCCGATAACCAAGCCACACTTGAACTTGGTAATATAATAGCCTAAAAAGGAGGTTTATGAGCAGCAACTGAGGTTGGAGGAAGACAAGCTAATTGCAATAGTTATTTATTTCGAGTGTTTTAACAAACCTTGCATATCGATACTTATCTAAGGAGGTAGTTCCAACAGTAGTAATTTCTTGTGGAGTTGAATTACGGATCGAAAAATGTTTTTACTTATATTGCAGCTACAGAGATGTATATGTATGCGTGAAGTACTTATGCATATTATGACGCTTCATCATCATCATCAACAGCCTATCTTAGTCCGCTGCTGGACATAGGCCTCTCCAAATGCACGCCACTCAGATCGATCTTGGGCTACTCGCATCCAGCTCCTGCCAGCCACCTTGCGCAAATCGTCACTCTATCGCGCCTGAGGACGCGATGACGGTTACAACTTTTAAAATCGTGATATCTCGGGATCGGTGGCTCTTAGGAAAAATCACTGATACCTCTTTTATAGATAATTTAATGGCCTACAAATTTTGTCTAAGGTAATTTAAATGGAAATCCCGAAAAAAAACTCTTTTTTGACCTATGACCAAAAGTAAATATTTTTCAAGTACCTCTAACGGAAAAATCATTTTACTCACTTGCAGCTTGATGTAAAATGCACCTTCACTCTTATTTTTGTCTTTTATTTGACCAGACTATAAATTGACATTAAAATATCACAAAATCATCCTGTGAATCCGTGTGACATGGATAAGTTTTTTTTCTTAGTTTTCTTAGTCCTCCCCAGGGAAAAGAGTGCTAAATTGAGTCAGCCGGTGGGTATTAAAAATATAGTGAGACAATACCGGATATACATCTTCTCATTACAAAATATATCTAAATATATCTAAAACCCGCTATCAATTAATCTATCATTGCAATTTTATGAATTTGTGAAAAATAGAGAAAAAATTTGATACCGCCCATTTGTGAGCCAGAATTCAGTACAACTTTCTGTACTTTACCATAATACAAATTTGCAGTTGGCCCAAAGCATGCTACTATTTCACCCACAATTAACATGGAAGAAGGCGATAAGTCAGCAAAAAATCAGTCTTTTTTCCTTACAACAACTTAAATCTAGCCACGGTTAAAATATTACAACATAAGTATTTACAACAGAGTTTCTTACACAATCTTTGGTCTCCCTCACACGAAGAAGGGCGGCGCGACTCTCATTTGTTATTCTATTTTTACGACACATATATTTCGGCGAGCTTGCATAATCGAGGCGTGCCGCGTAAAGAATCTGCATATTTTTCACATGAGACCGATTCATGGAGGCCTGATAAGAAACGAGCTCCTATTAATAAAACATTTTTGTTTTAGTACATTTTACAGTATACCTAGGTTTGGTTTTCACAACGTATGTATTCAAATGAAAAAGAGGTTAGCATATCAATATTTTGATTGAAATGAATGGAAGAAAAAACCTCATATCGCGTTAGCTAATTGCAGTCTTGCTACATAGCTTTCATAGATTTCCTAGACAGGTTTCATAGGTGACGTATGCGGGACGTAGGTCAATTTGGTTAATATTTGTTACTATTTGAGTATTTTTATTTATTTATTTTCATTTGGGAAACATACAGTTTTACTCAATTCAATTAAGTAACACTTATAACTTTTCCATAAACCAGTTAAGTTTCCACAGACTGAAACATTCATACACTTACATAATTTACTTAAAGTTACGTACAATATTTAGAGTTATGTGAATAGAATAAACATGATAATCAAAATTTATGGTAAGAAAATAATTACTGAGTGTTAGGGTAAAACGACCTTATAGCATTCATTTCTAAATTGATTGTAAGAAACGCAAAATATATCCAATCCCCTGAAGTATTTATTACAGCTGTGACATGCTCTAGAAATGAAACTATTTGCAGCATACTTGGTCCTGCTGAATTGTATTACAAACGTGTTGTCGGACCTAGTTCTATTAGGACAACGGAAACCAATCCTCTGCAACAGAAACGGCGAATCTACAAGGTCAAGTCAAGGTCTAAGTTTGTAAAGAAATAATTGATCTCTAACAGTTCTGCGATGTTGCAAGGATGTAACCTGTAACTTTGTTTCACAATCATTATTAAATAAGTTAATTATGTTTTATAAGTGCTTTACATATTTGTGTTGAATTCTTTCAATAGCATTAATTTATTTATTATACTGTGGATTCCATACACAATAGTTGCATTTTTTAAATTCTTGAAATACTGGAATTTTATTTTAAGCCTGCATACAAACACTCAGTCGTAGCAGTTCTCAATAACGCTTCTTAAGTTAAGGTGTAAATCAAAAAAAAAGAAATAGTCACGTTTTGTATCTATTTATTTCCAGACGATGCCTTCGATCCAGTCGAGGTAGCTGGAGACCCTGGTGTAGACGCCAGGCAGGTTGGGTAGAGCGCAGCCCACTCCGAATGACGTCACACCAATCACATGGTGCATTCGTCTGATGCAATAGCCAGGGCGCGATGTACAGCTGATAATATAATAAAAATAAATCAGCCTAGCCCCAAAGTAAGCATTGCATAGCGTGTGTTATAGGATAATAAGATAACGGATAGAATATTTTATATACTGATGCACATATAATTTTTGTATCTAGAAATACATATAAAAATTCATGACTTAGGTACAAATGCTTGTATCAATCATACAAACATTTGCCCCACCCGGGATTCGTACCCGGCGTACATACCACTGCAACCACGGAGGTCGTCAACATAAAAAGGACAATGTTAAAATTGGCCTAAGAACCAACACCAATTTGGCATTTATGATAATTCTTAGTATATTTTTTGCGATAATTATCAGTATTTAGATTGTGAGGGATACTTCGAGTTAAGTAAGCTAAATTAAAAAGTTAAAAATAATCTGAGACAATAAATATCATTTTATGTGTTTAATCTATGACAGCGTTGCAAACAAAACACTCTTTCTTCCTAATGCCAGCACTTCAGTTGGCTATTCGTATTTGCTATTTTAAAACATGACATCAGTCTGTCCATTTCATTCCTTATCAAGCATGACAAGGACAAACTGTTGTCAAGTGAAGGGCCGGCATAAAACTCGATACTCTGTGGTTGTGGTGCAGGCAGTTTGCATTCTTAGTAATCTGTGGCATTCGTGCATTCCAAAGAGTAGTATATTATACCAGAAAATGCATTCTCGTTTCAGATTACCTGTTGTATGTGTTTATTTGCGATTGTTTTTCCTTTAATTATCGATGTAACCAAAGAGCAGAGTACTTATTACCAAATGCTAGTGAAACTGTGCCACAACATCCTGAGAGGATCATACTGCCAAATTATTCAAGAGCACCTGATACACATTCACGCTGCATATTTACACAATATACATGTGATAGGTATACAAATAAATACATTATACAATATGATACAATTATGTCAAAAACAGTCAATAAATAAGAAGCAAAACTACAGTTTTTATTTTATTCATGATTCCTACCTAACCAAGTTTTTCCTAATAGTTATTCTTTAAAATCGCACCGAATAAAATAAATTCGTTGTAATATTAATTCACTTCATATTAAGTTCCTAGGTTGACCTATGTTTCATTGAATATTGAACATAACCTCAAAAAAAATAGTTTTCCTAATAATTTAAGTTCTCAGAAGTGTCCGTCAATAATCTTTGTTTTTACAGTCATTTACTTGCGATTTCGAACCTAGAAAATAATATTTCATGATTGTTGGTTCTTAGGCTAACTTATGTATGGACGCAGAACATTGCCCATCATAAGTCATTTCACCGGTAGGTTTGCAATTATCGCCAGTATGAATAGATTACTCAATCTTTCTAAGAACGTTTTATAGAATGATAGTTGAAGCCTTAATTAATCACACCCGACAAGAAAAAGAAAAGAATGTCGAGAAATTCGTTCATACATTAAATATGTTTATTTTGTCTAATTCGCGCGTTACAATGGATTGAAAGTGCGCGTTGTCGAGGATTGGATGCCAAATTCTCGCGTTAACATTCATAAATGCACAACGGTAAGTATATCTCTAATGGATTGAGACAAATCAATGATTTTTTCGATGCCGTAGAATGTACGGCATCAAACATCTACGGCGTAGATGTTTGATTGTCACTTACATTTTTTTGGGTACTCACAAATTTTTCTGTGGAAGGAGAATTTCTATCTGCAAAGGACCTACCGAATCACCCTGAAAACCAATTTGTGAAACCTATTAAGTTTATTTGTACTTGAATAACAGACAGATTAAGGACACTGCCAAACAATTATTATAGTTGCTGACAGCAATTTATTTAATGATCTAAATTAATTGCAGATAGCATTTTTTATGATATTGGTCATAGAAAAAATGCATTGCGCATGCGACATCATACACCCGAGGATGCATGATCTGGCGTGCTGCATTCAGCTGGTGGAAAGCAGAGTGTTGTCCTGCAATGCTACGTAGAGCTGCAGACTGCTGACCATCCACGGTCTCAAAAGGGCCATTTGCTCATGCAATCATAAGTGACTAACCAACCCCTCAACCCGCGGCCATCCAATAGCCAACTTCACGCCTCTCGACACAATCCTGGGCTTATCTGGTCAAGCTAACCACCTGGTGCCGAAACTGAGTTCCATGGTGGAAAGTCGGCCGTGCTTCGTCTCACATACGCACTAGGCAAAACAACTCCCCGATCTACGCAGATCCACGCTGATCAGGCTGATCCGGTCCCCGGATTGGAAGTCGCCGCGCGAGGGTGGCAAATATCTAAGGGGATCTCGAGAAATGGCAAGTGGTGTTCTTGGCGTAGTGAATTTCTCCACGGGGATCCCTCTGTTACCACCCCCGCCCTAGAGGAACTAGGCCAGTTCAGTCTGCGGGGTGTTAAGTCATCGCCCTGCCTTAGAGTCACTAGGCCACTCGAGCCTGAGGCCCCTCAGGCTCCTCACATGCCCTCTGCGTTGCGCTAACGCCTGTTTGCGTCTCTAAGATTGACTGATAGCAAGCTATGTGTTAATCACTCACTTGGCAAGCGTCTGCGCCACCCACTAAGACTCCCGCACACATCTGGTGTTCCTGCAGGCCGCACCAGTGCCGGTTGCAGGACGGCTGCAGCAGGTTGTCGCACAACTTAGTGTCGAGCACGTCCAGCGTAACAGCTTGCAGCTCCGGAGACGTCGTGTGGTACACTGGAAACAATTACAATACCTCGTAACCGTTGGTAATTGTACAAGCCTACTAAGCTCGGAGGAGCTTGTGATGATAAACTTCTTGTTTCTTATCTGTGATTTAGGGCCTGTTGTTTGATGCATAGTCAAATGCGATTAGGTAAAAGACGTTGGTATTATAAATGAAACCATTTGTCAACATTTGCACACACTTTGTAATGTTACCCTCGCCTACCTCGAGATAGGAGAGTGTGTCACCAGCTTAAAAGAAAGAATAAAATTTGGAGATGGTTAAGGAAAAAAACTAAGAACTACTAAAAGAAAGATAGAAATATGGTTAATAATATAGTACTTTATTCTGTACCAGGCCTAATACAAAAGAATAGAGAAAGAGAAAATTAAAAACTAAAGGGGATTGGAACGACAGACAGACATGTCACAACTTACTTTGTATTTGACATTTAAGTATGTATCAAACAACGGCACTCGATAGGCACGTTAACAGTGTCTAACGGGTCTATGTTAAGCTCTTCCCATTATTATTATACGTGAAAGTGCAACTTTGGTATGATATTTACCTGTTTCAACTACTCCCCATCCTGTCATAATAGCCTTTTTACCCACCAGCACATCGTCAGAACCGGTGTGAAGGCACGCTGGTTGTACAAAACTAGTAAAGTATAAACCAGGTTCCAATTCTATGAGGGCTATGTCATTATATTTCTTCGGTGGTTTGTAGTCCGGGTGATTTATGATTCTTACAATATTTTGGTCCCAATGACCTGGATTGAATCCTTCCTCGTCCACTGCCTGTAATGAAGTAGGTAGGAGGCTTTTTTAATTCTTTGATTTAATCCTTGAAATCATCAATGAATAGTAACATTTGTCACAATACAGTACCATTCTGTTATCGGGTATTTTAAGGGTAATAGTTTTAATTAAAATAGGCGAAATATATCAATTATAGTCCAGACGAGTCGGGATGAGTGCAATCGGACAGTGATGGAATGGCGACTTTGGTTGTCTAAATACACGCGTTGTAGTGAACGTATTATATTATACCTAGTAAACGACATCAGCACAGAACACAGTCAGAGGTTGGAAGGGTGACCAACCATGGACCGTTGGTATGTGAACCGAGGTCGCCGGCTCGCCCCACTATACTTCCACCTAATTGATAACAAGCCAATCAGACGATGCGACATCAAACAATTGAACGAATCAGCGGTCACACCCGAGAGTAACGACAAATGATAAACGACGCCATCACAAGTTATGGTCAAGTTATGAGCATTTGCAAAAACAAACTTGCATTTAGGGGATTGGTTCGTGAGCACTATATATTTGACTGACATAATCGTGTACTTATGTATGTATTGTATATATGTATGTGTGTATATGTATTTATATATATGTGTATAATATGTATGTATTCTGTTAAGAGTATTTGTATCATAGGTTTATCTCAAATTTGTCTTTATTGCTGGTCGACTGGTAGAGAATGCCTTATGGTATTATGTCCGCCATTTGCTGTGTAATTTTGCAATAAAGTTTAAATAAATAAATTTGATCACTTACAACTGTTGCACGCCTGCCCTGCCCACAAGCTTTTTCTAACCTCTTTCGGTGTTTTGTGATCACCCTGGTCGCTATTGGAAGCAAGTTGTGATATCGAAACAGACAAAACTGCAGAAAGGCTACGATCAAACGCGGACGCTGTATACAGTGATAGAGATGGAGGAGCCATTCACTGTTCTTATTAATCTAGTTTTGTTATGAATTTAAATATTAAGGCATTAGTGACTCTCTTTTGTGATGCGATATGTAAAATAATTATACTCGTGCTTCGTCCTCGAGATTAGTAATCTGAAATAAATTTTAACATTCACTTGTAGTAGCACCTTTAGGTATCACCACAATCGCACTATAAGTTGAGGGTATTTTTGAAAAACTTTTCCTCCTACCCGCCAACTCGGCGCCGGCCGTCTCCTAAGCGGTGTTCGTCATTCACGTTTTAAGTGTCGAACCACGTCGCACGCGTACTTCAATTCTGTAAATTTTGCAGTAAAAAGTGATTTTTTATTTTTCATCATACCGAAAAAGAAGCACAAGGATTCGGATTTAAGTGTTATAACGAAAAAGTTACGTAAATTTGAGAAAAAACTGAAGCGTACAAAGTCACGCAGAAAACGAGTTATATCATCGTCATCGGAAGATTCCTTGCGCTCTCCTGTCGAACCCAATAGTAAGTATAACAAATATTGTACAAAAATCATCTTTTTTCTTTTTTTTCTACAATTTTTATCATGTACGATTATTATGTAAACGTATGTACCAGGACAGTTAACAGGACTGCTCCGCCGCATACGAGTACTTAGAAGCGAGAAATACACATCGGTTAAATAATTATGCAACAGGACAGTTACAAGGACTGATCCGCCGCATGTTAACAATAAAATGCAAACAGATATGCTTCAAGGTCCATTCGCTGCATTTTTTTTATGCTTTTTTGTGCCTTATACATACTTAAGATCGTAAATAAAAAAAAAATTAAAAATGTATACATACTTAAGATCATAAATAGAAAATTAAAAATGTTTCACTTAAAGTTAGCAATAAATATTAATTAAATTAGTTAAAACGATAGAGGTATTAAAAAACAAAATATAACTTTACAGTTGGAGAAAATCGGAAATTGAACGAGACAAGACGTTGCCAAAACGATCATACATTAGATGAGTACGTTACCATGGCGTTACCACCTGTCGTAACATTAGATGATGACGACACTATGGCGATACCACCTGTCGCATCATTAGATAATGACGTTACCATGGCGATACCACCTGGGGCAACCACTTCAGGCGAAGAAGCCGCAAATGCAATTACCGAAATAGCAAATGAAGTAGGCATAGAATTGACGGAAGAAAACTTTACCTTGGATAGCGAACTGCTCGATATACTTGGAGATGATCCTACATTGGTGGTGAAATTCGGGAAAAATGTCCGCACTGAAGTGGCCAGCCGGTTTGAACACATAGCAACATCCGGACTTAACAAAGATCTACGTAAAGAACTATGTGACAAATACCTTCTACCTGGCAATTGTACTAAGGTTAGTGCCCCAGCACTGAATTTAGAGGTAAAAGCAGCTCTTTCAGAGCCAGTTTTAAAGAGGGACAATTTTTTAGAGACACGGCAGTGTAGAATAGGCGCAGCTATATCTTGTTTAGCATCTGCCTTAACTTCGGAATTAGAAAGTAAACAAAAGAACAATAATCTCTTAAAACATCTTATGAACGCGAGTCGCCTTCTGTGTGATTTACAACATGACGAATCACTAGTAAGACGCAATTTTGCAATCTCTTCCCTGAAAAAGGAAATGAAAGACTCCTTGTACAATACGAAAATCGATAAGTTCCTCTTTGGAGAAAACTTAGGCGACTCTTTGGAAGTAGCAAATCCGGGTCCGAACTGAAGGCTAATAACAATCTAAATAACAAGAATATCACTTTAAGACAGAAAAATAATTTTAACTGGAAAGCTCCCGTACGCGTACCCGCCGCCGCCGCCGCCGCAACGCGGCATACGCTACACGTCGTCGAGGCCGCCGCCGCCGCCGCCGCAGGGGTCCACGCGCAGGCGTTAGACCCAGTAAGATTCGCTGGTAGATTATCGCTATTCAAGCAAGTCTGTCTGGTCATTGGTCACTAACGATCGTTCATTACTATCCTGGATTAATGGTTACAAATTAAAATTTTCTACACCAGTCACTCAAAATTGCATTCCCATTCTTAAAAAATACTCTGACATAGAAAGATCTCAATTCATAGAAGCTATTCGCTCACTCAAACCAACAGGAGCTATATCGGATTGTAAGCCGAGCAATGACCAGTTAGTTTATTTCAAGCATATTTTTACGCCCTAAACCAAATGGTAAAATAAGATTCGTGTACCTGTCACTTTAAAATAGAAGGTTTTCACACTGCTATTAAGATGGTGTCGCGCGATTGTTACATGGCCACTATAGATATTAAATACGCATATTATTTTGTACCCATACATAAAGATAGCAGAAAGTATCTAAGGTTTTATTTCGAGAATAATTTATACGAATTTAACGTTTTACCTTTTGGTTTAAGTGTTGCTCCATATATATTCACTAAAATAATGAAACCCGTAGTAAAACTACTACGAGCAGGTGGATTCTTCTCAACAATTTATTTAGATAATATACAATTAATAGGGAAGTCTTACCAGGAATGCGCAAATAATGTTTTTATTACACAGAAATTGTTATGCTCACTTGGATTTATAATCAATAAAGAAAAAAGTTGTTACATTCTATCAACATCAAGTAAATTTCTAGGATTTGTTATTGTTTCCCATAGATATAAAATTTCCTTGCCTATTGATAAGCGAAATTACATTAAATCAAGAATAAAATATTTTATGAACATTAAACATTGTAAAATAAGGGAATTCGCTCATCTTGTAGGTTTATTGGTTTCTGCTTGTCCCGCTATCGAATATGGATGGCTTGATATAAAATAATGTGAGATATGCAAATATTTAAATTTATTAAACTATAATGATTATGAAATATATATGTTTCTACCTGAATCTTTGCAAGAAGATTTAAGGTGGTGGAACAATCATATAGATAACAGTACACACAGAATTTTAGAAGATAATTTCACCCTAGAAATTTATTCAGATGCCTCAACTACGGGGTGGGGCGCAGCGTGTGATAGAGAGGTCGCTAGTGGGCAATGGTCTGACGAAGAACGCCGTAGTCACATTAATTACCTCGAGCTACTGGCTGCTTCCTTTGCGCTAAAAATATTTGGAAACACTCAATATAGATGTCAAATCCTACTTAGGATAGATAACGTTACTGCGGTATCCTATATAAACCGCATGGGAGTGTACGATTTCCACATCTTACCCAAATAACGAAGGAAATTTGGCAATGGTGTGAATCTCGTAAAATTTTCCTCTATGCGTCCTACATTCGGTCCAAAGAGAATAGTATAGCTGACGCCGAATCACGGCGTATTCACTCAGATATAGAATGGGAATTGACAATACATGCTTTCCAATCAATAACACATAAGTTATTTGTTTCTTAGGTTTTCACGCACATCACTCATTAAATATCACATTAACAGATCCTTGCGGCTGAGCGGCGGTTCGTTCCTCGAATGATGCGCGAGGCTATTGAGATTAAAAAATATCCAAAGGACTATGGGCAAAAATGTATGGGCTCCGTCCCCACTCACCAACAAACATGGAACTGATACCAATGTGTTTCTAAAGTGCTCCCTATTTGATTAAAATAATTTATTTTAGATAAATCACTGGGAATATATAAAAAAAAATCAATTTGTAATTGTTAATTAACGTATATTTTTATTTCACATTTGTAAGTTATTTTAATATTATGGTTATATTACAGTACAAAATATGATTGAGTTATTAAACAAAATATTCAAAACGTATTTGAAATGGTAGTTATCTATTATATGTATAGTATATGTATATAATTGATATAAATGATTTATATTTTTATAACACTCATAGTAGGCCAATAAAAATAGTGCATGCTATTGCACACTATTATCGTGCCTTTTTTACTCACTAATGTTTATTATTCTAGCTGTGTACCGATCACCAACCCGCCTGCCCAACGTGGTGATTACGGGCAATATCTTTAATGCACACAGACTACAAACCACGGCCCCCAGTTCCCGGCAGCCCCGTTATTCCTGGTCACGGTGGCGACCATGGTAACGGCGGGGCGGGGTGTG